CGGCACTAGGGTGTAGGGTTTAGGGTTTTGTGTTTTTTCAGCGAAAACAAGTGTTTTTCTTACAGTTTAGGGTTTAGGGTTTAGGGTTTTGCGGGGCGTTTCACCGAAAACAACTGTTGACACTAGGGTTTAGAGTTTAGGGTTTGTGTGTGCTTTTGACCTCAGGATCTAGGGTTTAGGGTTTAGCATTTTGTGTGGCGCTTCACGTAAACAAAAGTGGTGAATTTAGGGTTTAGGGTTTAGGGTTTAGCGGGGATTTCGCCGAAAGCAAAAGTGTTTACTCTAGGGTTTAGGGTTTAGGGTTTGTGTATAGCTTTTCACCAGAGAGACAGATGTTGACATTGGGGTTTAGGGATTAGGGTTGAGGGTTTGTGTGTGGCATTTCACTAAACGCAAGTATTGAATCTAGGGTTTAGGGTTTATGGCTTTTTGTGGGTTTTCGCCGAAAATAAAAGTGTTGGCCTTAGGGTTTAGGGTTTAGGGTTTTGCATCGCTTTTCACCGAGAATAAAAGTGCTGAATTTAGGGTTTAGGGTTTGGAATTCAGCGTAAAACAGAAGTGTTGACATCAGGGTTTAGGGTTTAGGGGTTTATGTACCTTTTCACCGAAAAGAAAAGAGTTAACACTAGGTTTTAGGGTTTAGGGTTTCTGTGGAGCTTTTCACCGGAAAAAAAAGGTGTTTTCATTAAAATTTAGGGTTTAGGGTTTAGAGTTTTGTGCAGCGTTTCAACGAAAGCAAACGTGTTGAATTTAGGGTTTAGGGTTTGGGGTGTAGGGTTTGTGTGTAGCTTTTCACCAAAGCCAAAAGTGTTGGCATTAGGGTTTAGGGTTTAGCATGTAGGGTTCTGTGTGGCTTTTCAGCTAAAATAACAGTGTTGAATTTAGGGTCTAGGGTTTAGGGTTTACGGGTTCATGTAACTTCCCACCGAAAGCAAGAGTGTTGACATTAGGGTTTAGGGTTAAGGTTTTTCACCGCCAACAAAAGTGTTGACATTAGGGTTTAGGGTTTAAGGTTTTATGTTGCTGTTCAGCGAAAACAAACTGTTTAAATCAGGGTCTAGGGTTTAGGGTTTAGGGTTTTGCGTGTCTCTTCACCGAAAATAAACGTGTTGAATTTAGGGTTTAGGGTTTAGGGTTTTGCGTGGCTTTTCACGAAAAAATGTGTTGACATTAGGGTTTAGTGTTTAGGGTTTAAGGTTTTGCGTGGCCTGTCACCGAAGACAGAAGCGCTGACTCTAGGGTTTAGGGTTTAGGGTTTGTGTGTATCGTTTCACTACAAACAAAAGTGTTGGCATTAGGGTTTAGGGTTTACGAATTGTGTGTGGCTTTTCACGAAAACAAAAGTGTTGACCCTAGGGTTTAGGGTTTAGGGTTGAAGGTTTTGTGGGTCTTTTCACCGAAAAGAAAAGTGTTGATTTTAGGGTTTAGGGTTTAGGGTTTATAGTGAAAAAAAAAGTGTTGACCCTAGGGTTTAGGGTTTAGGGTTTTCACCGAAAACAAAAGTGGTGGCTTTAGGGTTTAGGGTTTATACCGAAGATAAGAAATGTTGACTGTAGGGTTTAGGGTTTGAGGGTTTAGGGTTTATAATGAAATCAAGAGTGTTGATATAGAGTCTAGGGTTTAGGGTTTATACCGAAAACAAAAGTGTTGACAGTAGGGTTTGGGGTTTATAACGCAAGTGAAAGTGTTGACAGTAGGGTTTAGGGTTTAGGGTTTACCGAAAACAAAGGTGTTGACTTTGCCTGCAGCAATGGGCGGCAGCAGCGGGGCTTCGGCGGTTTCTGTGCTGCAGCAAAGAGACAAGGTTTGCTGCAGCAGCAAATGTGTCTCTTCATCTGGCTGCTGCAGCATGAAGCTCAGCATATCGAGGTGCATGTAGTGCTGCTGCTGCTGCTGCTGCTGCAGCTGCTGCAGCTGCTGCTGCCTCGTCTTCATGTTGAACTCCCAGCACTCATCTTCTTCGTCCGAACTGCTGCTGCTGCTGCTGCTGCTGCTACTGCTGCTGGTGCTGCTGCTGCTGCTGCTGCTACTACTGCTGCTGCTGCTGCTGCTGCTGGTTTCTCTTCTTAATTTTCCTGTTGCTCTATAGGCTACGGGTATGGGGGGGCAAGGCAAGCCAAAAGAGGCCCTCCTTGCTGCTGATTCGGGACCTGCTGCTGCTGCTGTTGCTGCTGTTGCTGCTGTTGCTGCTGCTACGGGTTCTGCTGCTGCTGTGAAGCAGCGTTCTTCTGCAGCTTTGGCTTTTGCTGCTGCTGCTGCCTTCAAAGACCACGGTGCTGCTGCTGCTGTTGTTGCTGCTGCTATTTTTGCTGTCGCTGGCGTCATACGCAGTGCTCCTGCAGCACTGCGAACAGGCGAGCGCGCAGCAGCAGCAGCAGCTGCTGCTG